ACACACACACACACACACACACACACACACACACACACACACACACACACACACACCTCTCTCAGTGGCCGCTTCCCTTACCCCATCTTTAGTTCTGAGCGGGACTCAGCCCAACAACCAACCGCTCTGAGAGCCTCCAGCGCGCCCCGTCGGGGTGGCAGGCTGGGGAACCCCGGGGGGGGGGAGAGGGGTTCCGGGCTTCCAGGGCTCTCACTCCCGCCCCCTCCCACCCACCTTCAGCCCGAGTGGACTAAGTTGCCCGGGACCCTGCTGCGCTCCCGGTCCCTGGCCCTGCGGCCGGGACGCCCAGGGGTCCCCACCGCGCCCGCCCCGGCTCCGCGGAGCTGAGCGCGCACTCACCGGAGGTGAGCTGCATCCAGGCACAGATCTTGTACACGGTGGCCGTGTTGCAGAAGAAGAAGAGGGTGAAACACACGATGCAGGCGATGATGAGCATCATGGAGAGGCCGATGAAGAAGGAGGCGGCTTTGAAGGCGCCCGAGGGCAGCGTGGAGAAGTCCGTGAAGCTGCCCCTGCAGGTCAGCTCCCGGGAGAAGCTGTTGCCGATGCAGTAGTGGAAGAGCCCGAAATAGCCGGCTTGCGGGGTGTCCACGCCGTCGCCGATCCAGTAGGGCTGGATGAAGCACACCACGTTGACGATGGCAAAGCAGATGGTGAAGATGGCCCACAGCACGCCGATGGCCCGCGAGTTCCGCACATAGTTGGTGTGGTACAGCTTGGCAGCCTCCTGAGCCGGGAGCATCGCGGCGGCGGCGGCGGCAGCGGCGGCGGCTCCGGGCATTCTCCCCCTCCTCCCCCTCCTCCTCCTCCCCCTCCTCCTCTTCCTCCTCCTCCTCCCCCTTCCCCTCCTCCGCCTCCGCCTCCCGGTCCTCCGCCTCCCCGCGCGCAGGAGACACCCTCGCCGAGCCGCGCGCGCTGCAACTCCGCCTCAGCCCGGCAGCCCCAGTTCCAGAGTCTGCATCCTCGCTCCCGGAAGGAGGGCGGAGGAGCGCGGAGCACCCCTCCGGCTCGCCTCCCCCCTCCCCCCCACCAGCCCTCGCTCGCTCTCCCTCCCGCCTGGCCCGAGCTCCAGCCCTGCTCGCCACCCTCCACCCCTTCTCCCCACCTCTGCCTCTGCAGCTGCTGCAGCTGAAGGCGGGCGGCGAAGCCCGCGCGCCCCGGCCACTGCGCTGCCCGCCCCGCGCGACCCCCGGGATGGCCCTGACGCCGAGGGCAGCCCGGAGGCCCTAAGGACAGGACAGGAGCACCCACGCAGGAATCCTGGAGGCGCCGCCACCACCGCACCCCGGACCCCGCGTGGTGCCGGGGGCCGGGCTCCACAGGCCGATCCTGGGAGCTTTTCATCACCGCACAGCAACGTGTGCGGGAGGAGAGGGGGATGCGCAGCAGGTACCGGCAGAGAAGCCAAGCCAGAGACTTGCCCGGCTTCCCTTCCCCACCCCGACTTCCCTGACACTACCAGAGAAGCGCCCCTGGCTAACTCCTTGGTCGACAGGTGGAGATCGAAGTTGCCGAGCATGGGAGACAATAGTGTACAAGACAAACCTCCAGGGTGGTCTCAAACCTGCTTTACTGAGCTTGTCTCCTCTGCACGTTTTCCCACGCTGCAAACAAATGACACACAGCCCGTGGATCCCTCACCTTTTCCTCTAATCCGGCCATACTACAGCTTTAGGCCATAAAACCTAGCATAGATGGGCCCTGTGGATGCACGGAAGTGATTGTCACCAGATTGTGTGGCTGGTTTGAAAACATCCCACTAGTTTGGCCAGTGTTCCCCATTTGTGGCACAACTATTCATTGGCAGCTTCGCTGTGTTAGGGATTCAAAGGGGATGGCAACAGATGATTGTCTTAATTGTCTAGGTATTTCCATCTCCCCACAACCTAACGCTGCATTTCAGGAGAGTTGGTTGCAGTATAATTACCTCTGAATTATTCCCATATGATTCCTTATATTTTCATGTAACATTACTACTGTGTACCTACACTAGGCGCTGTTTCCTTAGTTTACTTTTCCCATTCCTCCCGCCCCCCACCAGTGCCTTCGATTGCTCTTTTGACAAACTCTAACTTTCAAGATGTGTTTCTCTGTTTCCACTGGTCACTGTTTTAGCTCTTTTTGTCTGTGGTATAAAGCAATATGAAACCCCACTGCCTGTGCGGTGAAATTGGAATGCTCAATAGCAGGAATAGAGTTTGCTTACAAACCATTTTGAGCTAGGGAACGCTGGATTCACTGAGCAAAAGGAAGAAAACATACAGTTTGCTACCCAAGCCTATTTTAATTGGCTATCTGAATGACTATTCAAGACAGAGGGATCATTCCTAAGTGATAGAAATAATTATGGTCATCTGATAACCTGAAGATTTGAGGTTGTATGAGGAGGGAAGACAGGAAGAGAAGGAAAACAGGGAGACAATGGAAACTGAGATATGGGCACACAAGAAAATGATGAGGCTGTTTCTACCACGTGGAAAATTTTGCTTTCTCTGTAGAAATTCAGGCATTGCAGAGCAAGGTCCATCCACGGGGCTTTGACAATCATTAGGGGACATAACCAGATGGTAACTTGATAGATGTAAGTTTAAGGAAGCCAGAATTTCTAGCAAGTGTGGTTATAGACTCTCCAAAGGTGCTTAAACTATCAGAAGAATTTGGGGAAGGAGAGGAAGATGGCTTAAATGTGGGCCAGCCCATTATGGCTCTTATTGGGTTTTGGAAAATACAATTCATGATGATGATGCATTATCCGGGCATTGGTGGCAATGGAGGGTCAGAACTTCTGGTAGGTTTCATTTGTCTTAACTGCCCTAAAGCGGATGGTAAGTCAGAAATTTTTAATAAGGAGGAAAGGTGGGAGTAATCAAATTTATAGAGCCATTTGGCAGTTCTTGTTTCCCAAGAGTGGAGATAGCTTCAAGGCAAGAACTGACAGTAATTTTTAATGACTTTCTCCAGCACTAAAATATCCCAACCGTGATTGTCTAGAGTGGTCTTCCTTCAAAATCAGTGCCTTAAAAAAAGCAAATCTTACTATGCTGGAGAGAGTTGAGGTGGGTGGCTGCTAAGAAAGGGAAGGCTGAGAATCAAAAATCCTAGTTTAGATCTCAATGTTTAAATTGCCTTCATAGGACAAAGAAAAGACTGGCAAATGATTCAGATTCAAAGGTTGTGATTCAACAAGCTTTTCTGTTTGAGTCATGTCCAAGGAAAGCCTTATTCTTATTCTGGTTTGGAACTGCCTCTGGATTAATGCTAAGAATCGCTATAACAAAGAGTAGATTCAAGGTATCCACTCTTGTCCACAGCAACTAGGAACAGTCCAGTACTGATGCATTGTAATCGAAAGTGCTCCTTTGGATCCCCTTTTGAGATATGTTGTTTGCTTCTTGAGAACAGCCTAGAGCCCTTAGCTCCACGTGCATCCTGCCCTGCACCACAGATTACCAGCTGAAGTCATCCCTTCAAAGTCTCTAAGAACTAGAGATAAGAAGCAATACCTGCTATTAATGAGTATAAATTGACCTTCAACACTTTGTCAAATAAATCTTGTCCTTAACAACCAGGAATCCCAATGCTAAGACTGTTACCATCCATAATTTAAGACCTTTGACTTGAAACATGTAGACTTTAAGAGTTTAGGCAGCTGACCATCTGAGCAATGCATTAATCAAATCTGCCTGATCAGGAGAGCTGTTTGGGGAAGGAAGAAATAATAAAACTAGCCTGCTTCATGCAAAGAAGTTACTATTGATAGCAAAAGTATTTTCAAACTATAGCATGATTCATATGTGCTAAATAACTAGTAGGTGTCAGTGTCATAAACAGCATTGAATTAGAATCATGGGACAAGCTTCACTGTTGAAAAATACTTTTACTGCCACAAAGGGTCAGTAGTGAGACCTACTCTTTGCACAACTATGTCTCCGTGATTGTTAGGACTATGAAAGAGAACGCAATAGAACAGTAATTGGAGTCTGTAACTTGATTTAAAATCAAAGGTCCTGGATAAGGTACATAAAGAGTCCAAATTAATCTAAGTAGTATGGAGAAGTGCAAAAGCCTTAGACAGCATGAGACTTGGCATCCCCACTCATCATTGCCTAACTTAGCAAAGGATCTTGGGGTTCCCATTTCTCTTCTCTAGAATTTGATTAAGGAAACAACAGATCAATTCTTCTAAGATCCCTTTTCCCAGTGAAATTCTGTTCTACAAAGAGCTTGAAAAAAGTTTACAAAGAGAGATGCAACCTGGTCCTTGAAGAAAAATTAGGCAAGGAGAGGTATCAGCCTGTGGCAAAAATTTTACTTAAAACAGAAAAACCTTCCTGAAATTGCATAGGTATAATTTTGCAAGCAATGGATGCTTAGAAGTTTCACATGAGTCATTGTGATGCCCTTGAGTAATAGAGACAAGATTTCTAATATGTTACTTAATTGATTTTTAGGACTATTACTGAGGCCACTATTACATCTCACTCCAGAATACAAATATTCCAATAATGAAGCTCTGTTCATTCACCAAGGGTTTCACTTTGCTCATTTCCCCCCCCTTTAATTTTCTTTTAGGGTTTCTAGAAATCAGAAACCACCTCTTAGTTAATAAATCACTGAGTTAGAAGAAACAGTCAGATGGGTGAGTGTGTGAACACTGCAAACCAAGATCAAATTGATCACAGAACTCTTCATTGCACCTTGGTCTATACCATTTTGCAATGAGATGTAGAACCTCAAAAAGGAGAGATATGGGAAATGGGAATATCAGTTTCTCTTTTCCTCCTTGTATTGTATTCTATACAAGTACCCTCATTTATAAGATCCCCCCACCTCATTTTCCAGAATCTGGTTAAGAGCAAAAGTTGTTTTCGAATACCTCATAGCTTGTTCTAAAAGAATCACAACCTTGTTCACCTTTGGAATGTCTTGGTGATTTCAAAAGGGCACTATCTGAAACTAGGTAGTAAACTGGAATAAAATACATAATCATCACTTCAAATGTGATTTTTATTCCATCATGGAGTGATAATATAATAAAACTTAAAGTTCAGCATGGTGGTTTTATTCTCATTTAATCAAGAACTAATTAGACTTCCTGGTTAAAAAAATCTATTTAGTATAGGAATACAGTTTACAGAACTTCCCCATTCATGGTATATAATGATTGAAAAAACACAAAATCAGTTTGGACCATCTGCCTTTGTCCCTTCAACTTGGAGTTCATATTTGAAAGTACTGTTCAGATTCTCTTTTAAGAGCATCTGTACCCATCAATTGTGCCTCTTCTACTTTACAATCACTCTCCTCTTAAGCCTCAAATTCAGCTTTTTTGAGAATATCCCAAGCCAAGTAATCTATATTTTGGGTCCTTTAATCTCAACATCTTTCTAAATGTAAAGAAAATCTACACAGATTTTTTTTGCTGAAGTAACACAAAAATATTAATTTTCATAATTGGTTACTTCTGCTGGAGAGGCACATTTTTATGACTTTCTTAGTCGACTTTTGCTGTAAAAATAACTCAGCCTCTCAGTGACTTACGACCATAATCATTCCCTTCTAATCAACACCTCATAATGTTGCTGTTTGGCTACAGCACTGTTGTAGACAGCAGGGCTAAATACAGAGCTCCTCTTTTCATTCTGGAGTTCAAGTTGAAGAGAAGCTCCCATTCAGATTATGTTACTTTATGACAGAGAACACTTATGGAAGAAGCTAAGGTAAACTTTATGTAAAACAGATTTATTGCGGGGTGCCTGTGGCTCACTCCTGTAATCCTAGCTACTCAGGAGGCTGAAATCTGAGGATGGATGTTCAAACCCAGCCTGGGCAGGAAAGTCCGTAAGACTCTTATCTCCAATAAATCACTAGAAAACTGGAAGTGGTGTTGTAGCTCAAGTGGTAGAGCACTGGCCTTGAGCTGAAGAGCGCAAGG